TGTGCTTCCATAATGTTGAATTCCAATATTGCATGATCACTTCCTCCCAGGGTTCCTATGGCTTCAACACCTTCTATCATTTCATCTCTGTTAGTGAGAATTAGATCCAAAATGGCTAATCCCCTAGTTCCCTTCTCTACTTTTTGGGAGACAAAGTTTTCTGCTAGGTTTGCCAGGAACCTGTTTGATCTTCCACTTGGTGCAGAGTTTGTCTGTGTGTGTTCTGTTAATTTGTTATGTGCTATCTCACTTTTCTTTTGGGGGATTATTTTAACCATGTTTATGGAGCTCTCTCTCTCTCTCTCTCTCTCTCTCTCTCTCTCTCTCTCTCTCTCTCTCTCTCTCTCTCTCTAATAGATTGCTAGATGTCTAGAATTATGTATTAATACATAAAATCTTTAAATAAATAAATTGGATGCTTCATATATGGTGCATGATGTCACCATGGAAGTGATATGATTAGGTTGTGTCAATTGTGTCAAATAATAAATCATATCATTTCTTTTATTTTGGTATTACTATTTCTTTAAGAGAATGAATGTTTGATTTAAAATTGGTTATTTTTTCTTTTTAGTTGCAAATTTCTTTATATCTAAAATCTAAATTTTATTAAATCATGAACTAAAATTCTGTCATTTTAGTCTCATAAATGTAAGAAACATCACCCCCCTTTTCTGTCAATCTCTGTTGTTTCACGTTTCTTTTCATTTTGATGATTGCATTTTCTTTTGCCTTCTTTAAAACAAAATAATAGAGTTTTGGTGTCTTTTAGTTTCAATGCTCCTCACCAGGAGTTCACTGACACCAGATGGTTGATAAAAAGCGATAGCACTTAGTGTAAATCTAACACCAAATGTGTTCTTCTTCTAACTATCAGTCTGTGAGAAGAGAGGAAGAACTGATAAAAAGTCAATCTGTTTGTAAATAGTATCCAAATAATATTGGAATGCAGAGAAAAAAAGAAGTCTAACTTACATTAGATTTCTCCAAAAGTTCCTTTCTGCTCTTACCATGGATTATTTCCTTTACTGAATTTGTTTATTCTTGCTCAGACAAGCATTGATATTAATATGGATGCATATATGTATTATAGATCTCTCTTGATTTATTTCATTGATATCATTTTGCTCAACAACACAGTACTCTCAGTCATTTATTTCTTTTTGCATTTAGCTGGACAGTAATTGACAACCTTTTCTAGCCCGAGCACCATTGGGGAACAAGAGAGCAAGAGACTCTGCAAAAGTCCTATTTGGGGGGGAAAAAGGACAGAATCAGCCTAGAGGCAAAACAATTTTCTTCAGTTGGGATTATTATGAGAAAAATATGAGAAAGTTTTCTTCGCAAGCGGAAGGCTTAAACTTTATTTTCCTTATTTCTAGAAATTCTCTAATTTTTATTTTTCTCTATCTTATATTATATTCTATCTAATTTATAATATTACTTTGTAGATCTCCATTCCATATACACACTTTTTACCCCATTGTATACAATATTTTGCTTTAGTTAGTTTTTGTTTAACCTTGTCTTTCTCCAGGTTTTCAGGCTAATGCCAACCCTCCTCCAACTCACCTTGCCTTACCATTGCTTGTCAGCCTAAGTCCATCTGAATTGTTCACTTGACACAGGCCTTCTTTGGAAGGCTTTTACTAATATGAGGTACTTTAGAGGTACTTTCCATAAAGCTCTATTAGCACCCATGTTTTGGACTATTTTTTTCTTTGGCACCTAACCTTTCCAATGTTAATGTCCAAGCTCTTTTGGAAAAGATTTAGCAGTGCTGCTGGACTGTTCTGAACTTGCCTGTCTTCTCTTGGTTGTTGATGACCAATTGTGCAAGTTCCTGAGACACACTTGGGATTTCCTTCTGCTGCCAGTGTCTGGGCCTCACTCAAGATGTTGGATGGTATTGGCTAGGCTGTTCTGGTGTGGCGGACATTTCAGTTGCTCCCCTTGTCATGCAAAGCCTTTGGTATTCAGGTTTTATACTTTTAGATCTTTTGGGACTTCTTCATTTTCTGTTTTCCTCTTCTCCATTACTGCCATTATACTTCCTCTTCAGTCAGTTCTCCAAAATTGTGAATATGGGATATTTAAAAAGGAATAAGAAGAGTGGAAAATACTGTCAGGAGTTATTTCCACTTATTTTATACAATATAATCTCTTTGGCAGATTTTTTAAAAAAATTGATGTCAATTTTTAGCAACCTGATAGATCAATTTTCTTGAAGATGAAGAAATGTGATCTTTCAGGTCTTCAATCGGTGTACTCATTGCAACTGTAATTTATTTATTTATTTATTTATTAATTAAATTTATATACCGCCCTATCTCCCTTGCGGGACTCAGGGCAGTGAACAGGCGATACTAAAAACCACGAATAAATAAATAGTTTTTGTTTTAAAATCGAATTGAATAATAGGCCTGTTCTAAAAACACACCCATACAAACCCCCCCACTGAAACACAATCCAAATTACGCCAGGCCGGCCGCACGGAATAGATGGGCCTTCAGGGCTCGGCGAAAAAGGCGCAGGTCCGCAACTGTACGTAGGTCGGGGGGTAGGTCATTCGAGAGGGCAGGAGCTGCCACAGAGAAGGCTCTCCCCCTGGGGGTCGCCAGCCGGCATTGTCTGGCCGACAGCACTCTAAGAAGGCCCTCTCTGTGGGAGCGGACTGGTCGAAGGGAGGTGTTTGGTAGGAGGCGGTCTTGCAAATACCTAGGTCCATTGCCATGGAGCGCTTTAAAAGTTGTTACTAACACCTTGAAGCGCACCCGGAAGGCCACCGGCAGCCAGTGCAGCTTGCGCAGGAGAATTGAAACCATCCACCTTGCTGTTGGTTATAATTTTGAAATAACTACCTCTGCATGATGAAAATTGAAGGTGTTTGTTGATTAAAACTCTTGCAATTTTTTCACTGTATTCATACTTAAAATTACCTTGAAGCAAAGAAGTCAGTTTATAATGTCTTGCCCTGTCTCTCTTTTTCTTATTTATAGGTCAAGTACAAGCGAGATTTTGAAGAAAGCAAAGGAAGAGGTTTCAGCATTGTTACTGACACACCCGAATTGCAAAGACTGAAAAGAACTCAGGAGCAAATCAGTAATGTATGTGACAAGGATCACGCATAAAAAAATGTTATGGAAGTGACAGTGAGTTGGGTGATTGTTTCCAGAACTGAGTTTGTATGGCTTCAGAAATTGGATTATTTGATGCTTTGTGTGCTTGTGCTCTCAATTTTGTTTCACTTAGTAGCACATCGGTGGTGTGTGTTTTCCTCTCCAAGTAAATTAAAGGTGGAATTACCAATCAAATTTATTTAAGAATGGCAAATTAGTATATTTATGATAAGCTTCAGTGCAATGCAGTCAAATATTTTTCTCTTGTGAATTAGATAAGCTAAACATTACAGAACTTCTTTCCAAATAACTCTAGCTTGCAGAATTACTTTATTTAATAGGAACACTGGCTTGGATGGAAAGGATTGTCACTGGGGAAGAAAAAGTTCTAAGAATTTGGCAGAGGAATTAATAGAAGACTTCTTACCATGGAGTACCACAATGCATTGGGATTTATGATAGTATGCAGTATTTTGCATAACGAAAATACTGTGTCTCTTAAAGAAGTTGTGTAACAGAATACTGATACTGCTGTCATGCAATGTTCTTTTGTTATAAATTGGAAAAAGTCTTACATTGAGTGGGAATGCTTTTTGTTAGCAATATTAGTTCTAGTCCATTGTAAATAATATTTTTGAAAGAAGTTCACTATAAGATATAATCTGAAAAATAAAAATGATATAAAACAAACAGATGAAAATCCAAAGGGCTATAGAAATTTGGTAGTTTGAAATATGAAAAATAGTATATTCAAATAGATGGTAGTTTCTTATTCACTCTGTTGGGGCTTCTTATATCAGAACAACTTTTGACTAACCAAAGGCAGGAAGACATTTTGATTTACTTATTTAAGGATGTGATTGGAAGAGATAAATCTGTGCTAAAAGCTGGTACTGGATTATGAGGGACTGCTGAGATCCATAAAATGTTTAGAGTGATATAAAAAAAAGATATAGAAGGATTGTTGATAGCCTTTAGTAACACCAAGAAATAGGAAAGACAAAAGGGGAGTGTATTATAAATTATAAGCCTTAGAACAGCTGTGTGATAATCCCAACTGTTATTCAGGAGATGTGAAGTGTTTCTCTCCTCTCTTTTCTGAGGTAATGGAGGTAAGTTTTCAGAATACTTTGAGAGGATATTAAAAAGATATGTGAGGAACAGTGATGCTATTAGCAACATTTAAACTACACTGTTGGATTTAAGAACAGCTTCAGTTTCAAAAGTCCCAACTCTTTGCTTGTTGCAGTGTACAATGATTTACAGATACCGTATTAACAATGATTAATAATTGGATAATGTTATATTTGCACTAACGTATTTTGCTATTTAAAAAAATACTGAGGAAATTTAAGAAAAGGCTACAGAATAATATATCAAGATGGAAATTTGTTATTAAATGATCAGCAAAACCTGAATATCAAATATATAATTTTATAACTAGGTAAAGTAGTGGCTCTGGAATTCAGTAGGACGATGGTCATTTGAAGAAGAAATTCCTAGCAGCAGGATCAGAGACTTGATAGAGTTATGCTGTCATAGTAGTAAAAAAATTCAATGTCTTGTATGGATTGCTCTAAGAGTATTAAATAAATTAACTGTTTTTACTAATGACCAGTTTTGGACATTTTCATGGTTGAATGAACATTTTAAATTGCCTATACATTTTCCAATTTGTGTAGTGTAGTTTGAAATGCTCATAAATTATTGTATTTTCAATATTTCAGGTCAAAATATTACTTTTTTCCTGCAGAGTACACTGCTTTGGCTTTCAAGGAGTCTGCCTATGATGTTCATTCAGGAATACAGCAAATCACATTTTTGTTTATAATCAGAAACATTATTTTTTTCCTTGTTACTTATAATTTTAGCTATGCTGGATATTTTCATCATAAAAATAATTCACTAGTTAGCTTTTTTTAGTATTTCATAAAATAGGTTATAATGAGCAGCAAAAGTGAAAAATAGTATGAGAAAATGAATATAATTATATTTTAAATACAGTATGAAATCAAATCCTGTGAAATAATTCATTTTTGACCTCAGCAAGAGATTTTAAATTATATTTAAAAAACATGTGATTAGTCTTTTCATATGTTTCCATGACTATTTCATAATTCTGTTGGTTTGATACCATGTAGTGCTATTAGCCAAGAATCTCTAAAGAAGCCAACGTTTTGCTTAAATTTTCTGATTGGAGGAAGTAGCTGAACTAAATGGAAAATATTGTCGTTCTGCACTTAGTAAGGTGAGTTTTCTCCTTGACAATCATAAAAGTTATCAATAAATGCAATTCAGAAACTTAATATATCTGCTTTCATTTTATGAATATTTTCAAGCCCAGTTGTTGGATAGTTTCTTAGAATTAATGCTCAATAAACCGCGTGTTAGTGGATATTTTTTCTGGTCATTAATTATACCCAAATGTATTTGTATTAATGCTGTTCATTGCAGAAATGTATTTGTTCAAGGCTTTACATTAACCTAAGTTTATTATGAAATGCATACTGATAAGAAGATATATTGCTTTAAAAATAAGTTAAGTTTGATAAATGATAAAATATTGAGATAGCCATATTTATCTGTAGTAATAAAAATAACACATTTAAATGTATAGCTAAGTCATGATTAATGCTATAGTATAGGAAAGAATTTAGCTTCATTCTGGGCTTGTAAACTTCTCCATACTTTTGCTTCTGCCATGTGGCTAGGAACATTTTGGAAATGTTCATTTCGAGTTTATCACAATTTATTTTTGGCACTAATTGAGAATTAGTTTAGTGTAACACAAGCCAGTTACATAATTCATCATTTCATGCTGGCTTACTTTAAAGTAATAATAGTCACCAGTTTATGAAAAATAATGATCTGTAGTTAAGTGTTTATGAATTCTTGATCCATATAACTGGTAGCAGTCTATGGGGAAAGGAAGAGCCAAACAATACAATAATTTTATTGCGACTAAGTTAGCATACACTGACAGTTTTACTGTATATTATACTCAGTGCTTTTTTTGTATAAAAAAAAAAAAAAAGGTGCCGGAACTCACACACGTCATACAACCCGCCTTGTCTACCCTACAAGGTTCCATCCAAAAAAGGTGCTGGAACTCCGTTCTGGGCATTCTATGAGAAAAAAAGCCCTGATTATACTACCTTTATTTGAACGACTTTTGAACAATTGTTGCAATGGGGTATTTTTTTACTTTAGCCTCTCACAGAGATTTCACCCCTCCCCCGATCTCTTTGGAGGTTTCTTTTTTTTCCTAAGAAAAGTTTTAAAATAATTTAAAAATTTCTCTGTGTATAGAGCTCAGAAAAAAATTGCAACATATTCAACTCTTCATTCCTATCATAATTGCTTGGATTGTAGGATTTTTTTTTTCTAAGCTGTAGCAAAAGTGGTGGAGCTGGTCAGCTGACATTCAGAAATTCTATCCTCTTGATCAGGGATTCCAGGACTTTGTTTTTAAAAGAGCCTGAAAATTTGAAACCCATGCTTTAGTAGATAATAAAAAACTATATATTAAAAACTGTAGAAAAATATTTTTTACGGATTGTGATTTAATTTTTGGCCTGCAGATTTATTTTATGTGTGCATAGTTTATCTTCATATTTATTATATAATTATATATACATTTTATTTAAAAATAACACTGAAGACAAACGAGTGACTCCTGGGTATATCCATAGTAGGAAACAAAACGTGAGCACCAGGAGGTTGTAAAACAGTTAAAAGTTTTAATAAAACATTAAAAACCTTTAAAAGAATATTAAAAAGGACCTAGCTTTCACTTGGATCCTACCAACATCGTCAGGGTAAAGAATAACTCAATGGAAGAAACCATTTATAGGCCAGCCAACACCTGCGCCCGGGCCCTAGATCTCGTGACGGGTCCTGGATAACCAATCGATGTATGCCCCTCATCACTCTCATTAACTATCCTTGCATTGACACTCACATCCCCATTCCTCCGTGTCCGTGCACCGTGAGGGCGCTTAGTCACACCTGGCACACAAGTGCCCTCTAGTTGTCCCCTCTTCTGCTCCTTGTTCACCCCCATCCAATCCGGCTCGGGCTGTAACCCAGCAGTCATGTCCCCACCCTCCATTTCACCGATGCCAAGTGCGTGCGGGGGTGGGAGCTTCCACGCCTCGTCCGGACGATCTCCCTTGTTGTTTTCTTTTGTCCGGCTCCACCTGGCTCGCAACTCCAGAGTCGCCCTCCTATCCTCCATCTCATCCTGCGACAACTCTCGGGCACACCTGGCTCGCAACTCCAGAGTCGCCCTCCTATCCTCCATCTCATCCTGCGACAACTCTCGGGCACACACAGCCACCTCCAGTCGAGGGAGTCCTGGGCTACCTTTCTTCCATACGCCTCCCAGTGGGGAAACCCCTTTTGGGCATGGCGGGTGGGTCGAGTGCAGTGGGGGTCCGGATCGCCATGTTAACCCGTCCTCGTTCTTATACCTCACCTCCCACGTTCCCCACGTGCGAGGTTGCGCTCCTGGTGTGTGGCTGCAAGGGTCTACGGTCATAGCGACCCCCATAGCAGTGGAGTCGGCGCAACTCTCCAAACAGCAACAGCGCCGCATCCCCAGTCGCACGCTCTCCTTTTCTTCCCCCAAACTCCTCTCATGGCACTGGGTGGCATCCAGTGCAACAGCTACCGAGCTCCTAATATTCGTAGGTTCTAACCTCTGCACCGGCCTCACTCCAGCGTCCAAAGTCGGGGGGGTATCGGCACGTAGGCCACTATTCCTTTTTCGGGCATTGTCTCTCCCGAGTGGGGGAGGAGGGGCAGGGTCGCAGTTCCTATTGCGGTTAGTCCATGTCGGCTGCTTGCATGTCTCCCACGTCCTTAACGTTAAATATGCCGGGCGCAAGTCTATATGCTGGTTAATGGACCCCTCGCGCGACAACCAGGCCTCCTTAAGTAGCCTGCCACTTTTGGTGGCATCATTGGCAATCACTTCCACAGCATCA